GATAACCAGTGAAGGAACCCCCTTGCTATACATCATCTACAAGAACATAGTTCTTCATGAGAGAAAAACACTAAAAGAAACTATGTCCTGCATTGAGAAAGGTCTCCTCATTTGAGTTTCCATCTGTGCACCAATCCTTCTCAGAAATTTGGCCAGTTCTGGGTGGGGACAACTTGTGTAATGGGGCAGACTGCATTTCTCCAGTCCAGAAATGCAGCTAGCAAGCTGCATTTCTCTGGTCCAAATTGCATATAAAGTCGGGTGCATAAATACAGCCAGGGAGAGTCCAAGAGATTGTGGCTCTCTGAGGTCAAGGACATGGTGACACTTCTCCATCCCATTTCTAGAAGTCAGCCAGACTGGCAGAGGAATGCTACTGCACAACGAGCGACATGAGAACAGACTTCACCTAAACCAAGGGCAGCGGAAGGGCTAGCCATCTGGCAAAGCTCTGTCCTCCAATATCTTATCGCCACACCTCGGTATCTGCTGCCTGAGGTCAGCTCTGCATTCTGCCTTATGACATGACTGGGCCAGCACATAATTACTGGGCAGCCTCTGTTCTGTTGGGTTCTGTGACTGGCAGGTCTGGGGCAGCCTGAGCAGTCTTGGGGCTGCCTGTGGGGGGCGCAGGTGGGGAGAGGAAATTTAACTCTTTCTTCTCCTGTTGCAGGCCAGCAGAGAATCGCCTCTCCGAAGCTGCGGTTGGCATAGCATGGGAAGCCCCTCAAAATGCACATGCTGTCTTCAGAGAGGCCATTTTGATCTGCACCCTGGCTGGGAGAGAGAGCACTGAACATCCCACCCGCAAAGTGCCAGCGCTGCTTAGGTTCCCCCACGGCTGCTACAAAAATTAGCTGTACTTATGGAATGGACATGATGAGTGCTTCTTGCACTGAGCATCCCAAACCCTTCATGCTACAACAGGGGAGACCGCAGGTTCATATCCTTGAAAAAAGTGACAAAGAATTTCCACACCAGATCAGTAATCCAAGCAAGCTGGGGAAGAATAAACATTCCCCTCCCCAGTTCACACCAAGTTACACTGCCAATATCTCAAGTACACAACAGGGTATATCTTGCAATTGATGGGGTTTGGATCTGTTAACCCTTAATAACCATGAATGGACTTTTGGCTAGCTATGCATGGGTTCTTGCCAGGGCAAACTCAAGTGTCTGAAGCATGATCGAGAGAAGGCTGGCAACTCCAGTGTCGTCGAAGTTCCTCATCCACTGCAACTTTGGTGGTGAGTTTTAGATGAGCCATCCATGGGAATGTTGTTCAGCACCACGGATAGCTCCCACAGAGCTCAGGATAAATGCTGCAGTGGGTGAGGTGACTTCTCTGCGTGGCTCTGGAGAAGGCCTCGGAGGCACATGAAGGAGAGCATCTGGACACACTTTTCCACCGTGCGATGCAATATGGCTTCCCCCAACCAGCCAACGCTCAGGATTATGGACACCATACAGGCAACTGGAGAACTGCAAAGACCATGGTTGCCCCCTTGCATCCTGCATCCTCCAAAAGACTTAGGCAGCTGAGCTTTCCCCACACTTCTGAAGAGAGGGGGCTGAAGCACCACCAGGGCTCCTTGTCGTGAGGACGTGCCTTGCCTCTGTGGAATGTCCTCCAGCCTGTCTGGAAGCACCACGCTGTGGGACAGGGCACCAAGATCCCAGTGCCAACCACAGAGTCTTTTCCCCAGGTGGGAGCTGAGGCTCCGACATTTCCTATGTCCATCCAGGCAGCATCTGGTGGCTATGACACAGTGCCCTGAATTCCAGAGGTGTCACTTCTGAACATCACTAACATGCTGCATAGCACATCACCCCCCCCCCCCGTGTTCCTCCCCACCCTCCTAGTCTACAGCCCCATCCATGTCTTTTTCCATTAAGAAATGCTGGAAATTCAAAAGCACCTTGGTGACAAAGCTTGGTTCTCCAGCTTTCCGGAGAGCACTACAACTCCCAGGATGCTCTTGGTCAGGGGTGGGAAAATGACTGCAGAGTGATCCACTCTTCCCCCACCTGGTGTCTTCCAGATGTTTTGGATTTCAAGTCTCTCCAACCCCTGTGAACATTGCCTGTGGTCAGGACTGCAGAGGGCGAGGGAGGGAGTCTGGAGCACATGGAAGCTCAAGGCCGCAGGTTGGGGTAAGCTGAATCATCTTCAGAGACTCATTCGGCCATGCCCCAACCTGTTAGCATCGCGATTTTTGATGCTTTCGATTCATTTCAGTACCGTGTGCTGGAAATCTCTCTCTCTTTTTCATCCTAACCCACCACCAGTTGTAGAGCAGACACAGAAACAAACAGTTGGATTTATCCTAGTTATGCCAGTCTAACTGCTTCTTTCACCTTTCGGCATGACTTTATCCAAAGAGGCATGGCTTGAAATGCTATGGGATGCCGACCCGCTTATTTAAGCCCAAATGGGGATGATGGGCTGCTGTGGACAGTAATCACAAGGAAGATGCAATCTTCTGCATGCTTGTGACCCTTCGCATCCAACATTTCGTAAGAGGTGGTCATTAACTACAGTATCCACGGATGGCCTCGGACAAGAAAGCCTTTATCCATCTGGGTTGCTGTTCAATTGCTCCTACCTGCTTGCCTGTTTGGTCTGCATCACTGCTTCAAGCTTGTCTGTCAGCATCTCCCTTGACAATCCAAGAAGAAAGACCAAATTGAGAGAGGTCAAAGGTCTGTTTCAGAACCTTTAACCGGCAAGGTCCCAGGTTAAAACCACACAATGATCAGTCTCCTAGGGGAATCATCTCAACCATAAAGAAGAGTCACATTCATCTTTACCAAGATGCTACAGGCATTGTAGGAAGGGCAAGGTGGAAATGGCTGGTCGAAATGGCCCTCTTTGACGCGTAAACCGTGGGCAGTCAGACGCTACCGGTGGTGTCTCTTTCTAGGAAAATAATAATAATTGAACCCCAAGTTCTCGACAATCAGAGACTTTTTTGTATGGCCAGGAAATAGACCCTGGAGCTGCTTGGTTCTCACTGGCTTCTACAAGTATCCTGGGGGAAAAAGGAGGCAGGCCCAGGTTGGAATACGTGGTTTGCTCTTTTCCCTGCTTGAGGCTATGGACTTAATGAGAGATGGGGACTAAGGACAGGAAGAAGAGCAGGCACGAGGCTGGGAAGAGAATGGATGTCTCTTACCCTTTATTCTCTATAGGATTTTGAACAATACTCTTGGTTTAGATTCTTCCTATTTTAAATGGACTGCTTCCAATTAGGGCCATCACACAGGTTAAGTAAATCTTATTCCATCCATTGTGCAAACTGAATATTAGATTACTTAAATAGACTCTCCTCCATGAATTTGTCCAGTCCTCTGTAAAAACCATCCAAATTGGTGGCCACCACTCCATCTTATGTAGACTTAGGGGTACAGTTCTCAGAATCCCTGACCATATTGGCTGGGTACAAGGGGTGTTCGAGGCCAAAACATTCAGAGACACCCAGTGTGGGGAAGGATCACATGATGAGGGAACCCATGGCCCTTCAGAGATTTTGGGAACTTTTGTTCCTGCTGACCAGTCACTATCCTGGCTAGGCTGATGGCCATTAAAGTTCGAGACCACCTTCAGGGTTCCCACCCCTGACCTCACCCATTTACGAAATAATGCCAAACCCCTACAGGCACCATTGAATGCCACTGAATCCGTTTCCGTAGCACCATGTGCAAGCAGCCTGGCTTCATCAAAGACTAGCTTGGATGCCTCTGGACAAACTGAGCCAGTCCGGGATGAGATTCCCTCGAAGGTCCATAGGCTGAGGAATAGGACGACAGGGAAACCCATCCCCGCCCGAAGCCCTTGCTTTTGTGGTGACTTGGCTGGTACTTCAGGACGGCTTTCAGGGACTGAGCAGACTTGGCTCACCAAAGTTAAAAACCTGAACGCGAATCCTCCCCAGTGAATCCATATTTGGACAATACGTTGCAGCACGTTTTGGTCAAGAAGATATAAAAACCAGGGAATGACCAACAGAAGACTGTCCATCACGGTTGACCAAAAGCAGAATGGCGTGGTGAAATCTGATAATGGACTTGTGCTACTATTTAAAGTTAATTTTTCTAAGTTACTGTTTTATACTTGCATTGGGTTGGCAAATTACGTTAAATAAATCAGCGTGCCTCTTGACTATTTTTTCCTCAATCTTTTTTTTTTTAAATCTTTTCAAGGTTATAACTAATCTAAATTCATCCCCCCCATCTCATGCACCTTCTCAGGTCTTGCTTTGTCTTTAAAAATTAATCATACTGACACGACTGGTTTCTTTTTCCCTCCACAAGTCATATTGTTCTCCAGCTATCCTTCCCTCCCTCCCTACCCAAACATTTCATACATTACAAGGGCTATAAACTAATGGACAAGGCTGCGGGGTTTTGTGGAGGGGAGAAGAAAAGAAAAAACGCGCAACCAAAGTACCAAAAAAGGCAGGCTTGCTCGGAAATTGCAGTTCCGTCACAACATCTCACAGTTCTGAGGCCACCGGTCTGCAGCTGTAGGTCAAACATGCAGTGAGAAAAGAAGGGAAGGCGTCTTCCAGGGTTGGCACGCTGGGCGACCCCCAAAAGGTGGCGAGGGAAGCGCTACATGTCTGGCAGAGATTTCAGATGTGGTGCTCCTGACAAGCTCTAGCTTGCGCTGTGATTGAGGCCAAGAAGGAACCAAGAAGTTGCTGAAACGATGGGGAAGAGTTGTTCCTTCCCATCCCCGCCATTCTCCTTGGCCAACGTCGGTGGCCTAGTATTTGTGGGTGGCAGTTTCATTTTTTATGGAATTGTTATTATTAATCATCACTATTGTCTACCTTAATTTAATGCTCCTCTTGGCACAGTGCCTGAAGTCGGCATGAAGGGCGAGCAGAAGAAAATATGGCTGTAAGAACTGGAGGCAGGGGAACCGGGGCCTGGCGCGGTCGCTCACAACAACCGGTGTTCTTTTGGGGGTTGGTGGGCTGGCTTTCCTTTGAATTTCATGAAGCGAAATAGGAACTCTGCATAGAATAGAGCCTATCAATTGGATTTCCTACCCTGGCTTGCATGGAGTTCACTTCTGAGGAGGCCAGGAAACAGTCGCTCAAGCTAGTTAAAGAGGTATCACTGTCGATGTCGTGGAAAATGGAGTCGTTTCCTGGGAGGCACAAAAAGCAGAAAGCAAAACACAAGTGTGTTAGTACCTAAGGCCAGACTGAGAAAGATGGTGGGGATTTTCTGCAGCTTTGTGAAATGAAAGCCAACTCCATGGAATAAGATGTCGGAGACGGATATGACTGGAGCACCTTGATCTGGCAGCTTTCCTCCCTTTGTCCAAGGTTTGGATCAAGGACCTTCTGGGGACCGGAGTATTTCTTGGAGGCTAGGCGAAGTGGGGAGGTTAACCTCAAGCTCACATTTCCCATCCAAATTAGAAAGAAGGCGCCCAACGTTTGTACCCTGTTGTTCAGTTGCAAAGTCGTGCCCGACTCTGCAACCCCATGGACAACATTCCTCCAGGCTCTCCTGTCCTCCACTGTCCCCCAGAGTCCACCCAAGCCCACACCCACCTCTCCAGTGACCCCACCCAGCCACCTCATCCTCTGCCGTCCCTTCTCCTTTTCCCTTGCACCCGATACCTCCTGCGTACACAGCACACTTGTGCCTCACCAGGGAAGGGAAGCGCAGTCCAACACTTGCCCTCCAACAACCCCCAGCCCCCAGGTCTCAACAGAGCAACACCCTGTAGCCTTTTTGTCAAGGCCAGCCAAAACTGAAGCCAGCTGTATGCACGCACCATGGGTTGTTAACCAGGAACAAGCTATGAAGAGAACCTCTGGCTTGTCGATGGGTTGTGAACTGTGGGTTGTTCCCCTTGCTTTCTTATCTTGACTGTGTTCAGACAACCCAGCCACCCATGCTTTGACAACCACAGCCATGCTGGATCCTGTCATGTTGTGTGAACCCATCCCTATGGTTGGAAGGGACTGCGGACAAGCTCCAAGCCAAACTCCGGCTGGTATTCCATTCCTGAGCAATGGCCACCTCACTGCTGCTTATGCCCTTGCAGGGAAGGAAAGCCCACCACCTCCCGAGGCAGCTGGTCCATGGTGCAGCCACCCTTGTCACCAGGGAACTCCCACAGTTAGGGGAACAGTTAGGCAATTCCACCTAGTATTGAAAGAAAACCTTCCCTGCCATTTCCTCCTGCCAGTCTGACCTGCCCTTGGGAGCAATCCAGAGTAACACCTTCTGCACCAGCACCTCCCAGATCTTTAAGGACCACTATGACTGTGTTCAATGCCATGAACAAATAAAGATGCTGAAGGCAAAGGAAGACAGAAAAACCACCCTTTCCCCCCCTGCGTATATCGCAGTCTTGCACAAGACTGTAAGTCTGGACTGGGCCTTCTGAGCTTCAAAATCAGAGCGGTTCACTCGCTTCCCATAAGCAAGTCATTTTGTTAAACAGAGCAGAAGGGACAGTCTATTCTAAAGTTGTCTCTCCTAACGCTTCTGATTTCTGTGCAAGCTTGGTGCCAGTGGGGGTAGGGTGAGTGGATGAGGCGTACAGCGTTGCCAATGACTTGTTTGCATTGCAGTCTGCAGCATTTAAAAAGTGTTTCGGGGGGTGGTGGGGTAAAGAAAAAAAAAAGCCAAGCAAAGAAAATAAAAGAGAGTTCCTTTTCAAACTGACATGAGCAAACAATCTGTGGGAAGTGGTTTGGCTAAGAAGAAGATACTCAGCATTCCATCATAGGAAACTGTGGGCTCCCAGGAATTGTTGAATCCCATCTTGTCAAAGGCAATCTGGGCTTGTCACTGGAGCGGGTGGAGCAGAGGCAGAGAATATCGATGGTAAGCGTGTGTTACTTAGTGCAGTTTTTACGTCTCCTCCTCCCCATCCCAGCCAGTTCAACAGTGTTACTAAACTCTGAAAACAGGATCTGACACCAGATTTTGTTTGCAGGGAAGATCCCTGCTTGCTTTCTCCCGTTTTAGATGGCTAACAGGGGCCTGCCCTCCTGAAAGCATAAATAGACCTGACCTAAGTAACCAGGTGCACCGTTATAGAACGTTTGGACTACAGGTTCCCAGCATCTCTGACCAGTGGCCTTGCTGGTGAGGAGTTAGAGGAGCTGAGGTCCAACCTATCTGGGCAGCTGAGGTCCACCTATCTGGGCAGCTGAGGTCCACCTATCTGGGCAGCATGGCTGGGCAAGGTTGGCTTGGGGAGCTGCTGCCCCAGGTTGTGTCAGTGGCCATCAGCCAGCAAGGGTTGAGAAGAGTGAGGCAAAGGATGGGTGTTTGTCTCACAGTGGCTGCTGCTGAGGACCCAGGGGAGGTCCACCGAAAGACCCCTCCAGGCCTGCTCCTGCCCTTCCTCATGGCAAGCTGTTGGCTCCCCAGCCTCTCATGCTGGTCAGGCAAAAGAGGTGGTGTGGAGGAGGAGGAGGAGGAGGAGGAGGAGGAGGAGGAGGAGGAGATGTTCTGGCCACCATGCTCCCTGGTTTTCTGCCTGTCAAGCCAGGATGAAAGCGAGAACAAGCAGAGATAGCTGTTGACGATGGCCACCAGGAGATCAGTTCATTCGGGGAAGGGCACCACTGGGGCCATCTTGGGTGAAAGCCCTCAAAAGCGTGACATGATGCAGACTACTAGTTGTGTTCACCTGTGGAACCTGGTTGCCAAGCTGCAGGATAGAAGGGAAAAAGAGAAGCAAGGCCATTTCATGCCCTCTGCTGAGACAAGTCATTGGGGGCTTCCTCAGGCTATCAACATGGGGTCCATCCCAACTGGCCAGAACAGAACCGCCCAAAACCTGTTTCGTGCCGGCCCACCCAAGCATGCCAAGCTTGCTCTGCAACTCCCTGGGCCTGTCAGGAAACCCCTTCTTACTGCAGACACATGGGATACCCGACAGCTGAGACTTGGACGTCCTCTCTGGCTGCCTAGAGAGCATGAAGCTAACAGGCAGCTTTAAACAAATCTACTCAATCAATCAGTTCCCCTGTGATGCTTCTGGGCAAGAGAGATGGTGCTTCTTCTCCTAGCTGCTGTGATCTCTAAATAGGGCCCTTGTTGGCCCACTTACAATGAGATGTGCCTCTCCCGACATGGCACTCATGTGGGCTTTGTCCATTCTCAAAATGGCTACCATGGTGGACAGGATCAGTTGCAAAACAGCCATTTCCCAGCATGCAGACTGGTGAGACTAAATGCAAAGTAACTCACCCAAGGACTAGACTAGGCAGAAGTGGGGTCTGAACTGCCAAACTTTTTTGAACCCAGGTAAAGGTGGTGCTGGAGGGTGGCACTTTGCAACATGCCAGCCCCACTTTAAGAAGCGGGGGGGAAACCGTATCAGGAAACGGCGAGAGAGTCTGGTGGGCTCCAAGACAGGGGCCTGCAAGTACACTGGGACCCACAGGAGAGGAAGATCTTAGTGTGTAAGGGATTCTGTGAAGCCTGCAACTGAGGCAGAGAACTGGGGGTTTGACCTGATACAGCCTGGCAAAAAGAGCATGGGATAGAATTGGTATCAGGTCCACATGTGGCCATATAGGTGGGCCAGGATAGGTTCTGAGGTCTGTTATGTTCTCCAAGCTGCAACTCAGGCAGTGGCTGTTTGGGAACCTTCAGGGTGCACCCCACACATGGCTGTTGTCAATTTGCATGCCAAATTGAGTTCTGCAAGAGAGAGAAACACTAAGCTTCTTGCCAAGCCACATCGGATGCCGCAATCTGCCTGATGTGGTGGGGAGAGACAGGTTACTGAGGTCGCTGAATTGGTCCTCTCCAGCAAATGAAACAAACATGCTTTCTGCACTCCATACTTCCAGTAGCTTCAGACTAGTCTAAGCCTTCATGGATTTATGCTTCCACCTCCCAGCAACCCTGGGAAGTGGAGTTCAGGGCCACTACAACGAATTGCCTCTTGAAGCCCCGAAGTTCAGCATTCCTCCCTTAGAGTGGTAGGATGAAATTTGTTGATGTACAAAGCACAGGCATGTCACACACGTTCTAGGGATGTACTGAAAGAGGGAAATCCCACTTCCCTGAGCTTAGCGGTTTCCACACCTGCTTCTGATCCAGTGAATCGAAGTGGGTCAAGTTCCGTTTTTTTCTCTAAGACTTTTGTCTCTAAGATGGATGAGGGTTTGTGTATATTTTAAGATATTCTGAAATTTGCACAAAGAGGCACTGGGAAACCACATGGTTCTAGTGCAATTTGTCCAGAATTGGCCCATTTGCGCAAATCACAATTTGTGTGAATTGTGCTTTGCGCAAAGCAGTAGATTCTCCACAGAATACACTGGGGCCAACTGGTTTGGGGAGAGCTTATTTGCACTAATTTCATTAGTGGTTAAAAAATACATGGATTGCAGTCTATCTTAGAGATGGAAGTCTATGTTTTGGCTTGACTGAAATGAGAATAAGTCAGTGTCAAGGCTAATGAACCAGAATCTGGTGGGAGGGAAGGCCAAATCATGAATATCTGTCAGAGTTTCTTCCCAATCAGATCCTTTACACATCCCTAGTTTCAGCCTATCCTACCTCACAGGGTTTTTGTGAGGATAAGATGGAGGAAGTTCACCTATGCCACCTTTTTCTTCTTGGAGGAAAGGTGGAGTATAAATGTAATAATGAATCAACCAAGAAACTAATCAATTCCTCACAGAGCCTTCTGGGTTGACAATATACTGGGTTAATTCATAAAAGGGTCATTATAGTGTCAGAGTTAAAGCAAACAAGTCAAAACAAACTTCTGAAGCTTAGTCATACTTAGTAATCTGAGCTGGTGAAAAATAACAGAACCCCCATCCTTCCCCATCCTAAATCCATATACTTACCCCGTTTCGTTCCCCATAACTCATGGAGACAGTGGCAACAGGAGTAGGTAGGTCTCTCCCTCCTTCCTTGGCATGTACATTGGGGAAGACATAGTAGTGGTGCCCCTGGGAAATGTCACATGATCATTTCCCAAGTCCCCTGGCATCTGGCTCACAATTTTAGTGGAGATGCACAATCCCATACCAAGGAAAGAGAGACATGTCTAGGTGTTTACCAGGCAGGTAAGGAGGTGTGGGGAAAATTGTGGGGGTGGTGTCTGAGGGCTGGTTGTAGGACTTTGGCCCACTCCTCCCATAAAAGAGCCTCCACAGGTTGTGGATCCAGATTCAGTGCAGATTCCCGTGCAGAACCAATCCAAATGGGTATAAAACCACATACTGTAGGCTAGAATATGGCTGGAAGTGGGGAGAAAGTCCATTTAGAAACATGCAGTTTGTTTGTTCAAAGATCCAAATTCAAATGTGGATGCTTATAGGGACTTATTGAAAATATCTGCCGACTGATGTCAAAATGAGAAAGCCTAAACTTGTAAATGAAGAACCGGGAGACTGACAAGGACCAGAAATAGGTGGATCTGTCCATCCATTCCTAGGTGGTAGGTGCTCTGCAAAATCCAGCTGGGGTAAATGGGGGAATGATAAGAACATTTGGATGGAGTCACTCTTATGCCCCACCAGGGGACCTCCTAGAGTTTGGACTTGCAATCCTAGACAGATGCCTTGGTGGTCCATCTAGGACAGGGCAAAGCAGCTGCTTCCCAGTGAGTCTTACCATAGGGGTTCATGTGGTCACCTGGCATTTGTGGTGGGGTGAGACCTTGCTGGAAGGGGTCAGTGGCGTAGGTGCTCTGGTCCATCGGTACGATTTGCTGCTGCTGCGGTGCGAGTGGCGTGTAAGACGTCATCATCCCTTCCATTCGGTTGGACATTACTTCTGCAAGGAAGACAATGGACGTTCACCAGAAGATTCCCCTTGAGACAGCAGCACCCTGAGGGTTAGAAGCTGCTGTGACCTTGTTCAGGGCCAGCCAAAAGGGGCAAGGCAATTTTCACAAACATTCATATAAAACTAGTCCTGGCCTAAGTTTTTAGCTCAGCAGATTTCATTCGCTTTGGTGGGTGGCCTGTGAATAAACCCTTGGCCACCTACTCTGACCACCAACCAGCCCAAGAGATGCTTAGAATTCAGCTCTATTCCACCGAAGATCCCTCCCTCATTCGTGGCAGACAAAAGGGTTGATATTGGCCAGTTAGATATAAATCCAGTTTTCCATGTAGAGGGGCCTAAATTTTTTTCCATCTCCTGCAGCTCGCTTGCTAGCCCAGTCTTAGCACCCAAGCCCCACATTTGTATAAAGACAGTACATTTTAGAACCTGGATTTGCTCTCATTTTCCTGAAGAATGATCCTGACACTTTCCCTCCCTTCCCCAAGCCAACTGTCCTTCACATCCATCCAAGATTTATTTGAAAAGGACTCTGCAAGTCAGCCAGGGCTGAAAGAGAATTTGCTAATTAGTTCCTTGAAATCCACTCCCACGATCCAAGCTGCCGACTCCAGCAGGGAGGAACGCCCTGTCTCAGGATGGTTGCATGGCTCATGAATATGCAGAGGGTTGTGTTGCAGCTTCTCTTGAAGAGGCAGGTTGCAAGATCTCTGGGGTGGAGGCCCATGTTTGTCCAGCTTCTGCTACGACTGGGTGCCAACCCTGACTGGCGCCACCGGGTGCCAGCGTGGCCAAGACAGATAAGAATGTAAAGGGATTGCCATGGGAAAGCAGTGACGATGTGGTGAATGTGCAGGAGGTCTGGTTGGCCGGGAATCTTTCCTTCCCCACCCAGCCCTAGGAGTCTGCGAGGGGCCTGGCAGGGACCTGGTTTTCAATGTAGGCAAGACTGTGAATGAGGCAGCGCTTAATGGGTCCCTGTCTTCCTGTTGGCCTTATAATACTAGTATGGGCGAGTGTGCATTTACTCTGACTTATTTTCTCCCACCGGGCAAGCAGCTGACTCAATTCTTCTGGTCAAAGGAGGATGAGGAGGGCCGTGAGGCTGGATCAGGCCAGAAGAATGCTGGACCCACTAGCATCTAGCCCATCCACACCATGGCCAAATAGCTGCTTGCAGGAAACCCACAAGTAGGACCAGAGTGGGACAGGATCCCCACCATCACCATACGGAGAAGGAAGGAAGGAAGGAAGGAAGGAAGGAAGGAAGGAAGGAAGGAAAAATAGCATGTGCACACAGACACACACAAGAAATGGGGTGTGTATCTTGCCTATAATAGGGAATAGAGAAAAGCTGTAATATGTCATTATGATTCAGGGACCTGAAACTGTTGTCTACTTCTTTCTTTTTCCTTACTTTCTCTTCACGTTTCTTCTTTGGCCTTCCAGCTCTGTTGCTGCACAAAGCCGGCTCGCCATTCTGTCTCCCTCCCTCCTCGCGCTGCACACAATGCACCCTGCTGCAGGTTAGGAGAAACCCCATGGATTTGCCCCGAGAAGCCTCAGCAGAATCGTGGAGGCCCCTTTGGTCCACCACGACTGACAGGTTGCATACGCGGTCAGTGTATGGCCTGTGTGTGTTTGGAAGTCACTTGTGGAAGTACTTTTAAGTTGGGGCACTGAGGGCGGCCTGTTAGTCCTTAAAAAATCGGAACGGAGAATTCGTGAATTTTAGAGAACGGTAGAAGAAGGAAGAGCTCACTGTGGAGGCCGCAGCCTCTTTGCTCTCCATCTCCCGTGCCTCCCGCTCCAAGACCACCTCCTCCCTTCCGAGCAAAGACTGGCTCCCAAGACACAGCCAGTAGGATGCTGTAGTTGGTTGTGGGGCCCGACAAAATAGGATGCTGCATTTCCTTTCCCTGAGGGCCTTGACAAGGAGCAGGCCATGGGAGGTGGTAGTAGGTGGGGCGAGTCAGCTACTAATGCTAGAACCCACTAGAACTTCAATGGGTTCTAGCATTCTTCTGCCCTTGGGCTCTCTGGGCAGTGGAAAAGCTGACCCAGGGAATGTTTGCATCCTGCTTAAGAAACTGAGCCCCGGATCCCCGTTGTCAATCTCTCCTTTGCTGGAAATGAACGAGGTGAAACAAGTCTGGCACGCTCAGCTGCACTAGAGATGCACAAGCGCTGAGCTTGTGCTCACGAAACGTGTGAGCATGCCCCTTGCAAAGCCCTGAATGAGGGAGCGAGCGTGTGCACTAGTGCACACCAAAGCTGTCCTGGGGCTGTCAAGTCAATGTGCACATTTAGCTCATTTCCTGTCCCCAGCTCTGTTAGCATGAATGGCTCAGCAGGCTGAATCAGCACCACTCCGAGCTGTGATGAAAACGGGCTCAGATTAGCAAATGCACACACATCTGGGGAGCTCTGAGCTTATCTGGGGAGGGTCGTGCAGCGCTCACATATTTTTGGCGCTCAGCTTGCATGAATCTCCTGTTCGAAAGCTGCTCGGTTTGTGTGAATGTGTTCTCAGGTTAAAACTGTCTTCCTCAACCTGGTACCCTTCACATAGTTGGAGTACAAAGCTCATCATGCACAACCACACTGGCTGGAGGTGATGCAAGCTGTAGCCCAAAAAATCCGGAAGGTATCTGGTTGGGGAAGGGACAAAAGTAGGTAACCCACTCTCAGCATTATGGAATGGTCTAGTCCTTGCCTGGAATGGTACAGCCCTCCCTGTGTTTTATCTTAGCAGGAAAATGAGGCAACCTGTGCTGGAGAAAAGGCCAGTTCTGATGCATGGGACAAGGGAAGGGAGGTAACCGGGGAGCAACCCCCATCAGCCCCACCGGGCCCAACCCCAGGACCACCGTGGCTTCACCTTGACCAAGCCGCTGAGAATTCTGCTGCTCCTGCTGCTGCTGATGCCGCCGGGCCAGCTTCTTCATCTGGAAAGGAAAGGAAGCCAGGAATAAACATTTGCCCCTTGGCTGAAGTGATTCCACCAGCAGAACACCCATGTCGGCCTTCCTCACCCTGGCTCCCTCTAGAGGTCTGGGGCTTCAGACCCATCAGCCAGGAGTATTGGGAGCTGCGGTCCACCACAACTGATCTGTCTGGCACTACTTCTTTCCTAACAAGTGTCATGTAGTGAAGGCAGTGGGCTCTCCCTGCTGGGAGATATTTCAGCAGAGGCTCGGAGTGCTACTGGCGGGCTGCTCCCTGGAGATGCTGCAGATGCATCCTCCAAGAAGCGAAGACAATCTCCACGGTCTCCTCCACCTCTGATGCAAAGCTGCCTTAAACCTAGACCAAGAAGGTCAATGCTGACTCCGGTTTCCTAAGTTTGCAGGGTATTTTTTTGCTATCTGGGACCCTTTCAGCTGGAAATTCACTTGGAACCTTCTTGCATGAACTGCTGGTGTTCATCCACCAAGCTTTTTTTTTTGCTGAAAAATCCATTTTTCCCCCAAGCATTTTTTGCTGGTCACTTTGTATCCTTCAGCATGAGCTGGTCTAAGCATCATTTGGGGCATGGCAGCGATGGAAAAGCACAACAACATGGAGAAGAATATTTAAAGTCTCCTTGTCTTTCCTGGGGGGTGGGGGTGAGGAAAGGAAACATCTCAGCAAAGGCCTCAGAAATAAATGCTTTCTGAGAAATGTTGCCTTAGTTATACAAATTATCTATTTCTAGATTTTTTCGCATCTCTCCCTCCATCCAAGTACCCAAAATAGCCAACTCTTAACTTTTTTCTTCACGTGCAGAAGGTTTAGAGATTTTGTTCCATCTGGTCCATTTGTGTCTCATGGACTGTCAGGGACCTTCTATTCTGCCATCTGCTCTTGGACAGAAGCCAAATTTGCATTTCTCGAATTTGCGTCTATTTGTGCTTGTGCAAATTTTCAGTCATATGTTTTGCACTTCAGAAAAGGCCCGGATCCAACCCTCAAATATTCATATTTTCAGCACATGTACCTTTTCACGCTTTAGCCTAAGGGGGAAGGGAATGTGAATTTTTCTTCAGTGGTTTTTGTTTTCAATTTTTGTACTTTTCTATATCTAAATTTGCATCACATTCCAGAAAGTTAAAATACTGGTCCATTCATGAGTTGGACATATAAAAACTCATTTTAACCCCTTGCAGATTTCTCAGACACATGGCTTGGCATATTCTGTGCTAGTTGTGACCACGAGGGGAATTTCATGCTCTGAAATTCAGTCAAGAGACTTCAGCCTGACTCCTTGGGGTGGGTTGGAATCTGTTCACAGCCAGTCTCAGCTTTCTGTCTTCTTAGGCAGGAGCTGTGAGTGAAGGAGTTGAGGCCCAAGTGTCTTTCCAAAGGAGTATTTCCACTTTCCACCTATTGATAGCAAAAGTATCACAGGAGAACCTATTCCATGGGGTTCTTAGCAGCTTCAGGGTGAGGCTATGGAGAAAGATGCAGGGAGGCAGTTGGTCTGGAGGCCTAGTCGGCATCCTCCTTGTTGACGCTAAGCAGGTCTGGGGCTGGCCTGACCTTGGAGGGGAGACCCGCTGGGAACTGCGTGGAGCCACTGTGAGCTCTGCAGTGGGAGAAAGGTGGGATACAAATATAATAGATAGATAGATAGATAGATAGTTCCTCTTCCCAGTTTTACTGGAATATCCAGAGTTGTATTCCCATATTCTTTCCCCCCCACTTTTCACAGTCTCATTTTCTATAGGGATGTGTTTTATAATGTTTGAATAATTAATGTTTTATATAGTAGCTTTATATTCATTGCATTTTTATATCTTGCAAGTGGTCTTGAGCACTTGAAGCGATAGGACAGGGTATAAATGTATGCAATAAATAAATAATATTCTCCCACCTCTGTTCTCCCAGTGCCAAACCCACAGGTGTCTGGATAAGGAAACGTATTCATCCCACGGTGCTACCTAGCTTGCTTGCGCAGCATGTTTGCACTCCCTGCCCTGCCTCCTTTGATTACACACCGATTCTGTAATGTTCGTTCAGCTCAGCTGCTTAACCGTCATCTGCATCTCCCCTCCTGATTGAAAAGCCAGATCCCTCCACAGTGGCTCAAGTTGTCAACACGTTTTCACCTAAAGCAAAATCAGGAGCTAATTGCCGGCAAAATCTTCCAAGGGAGTTGGAGAGGAACTTAAAACGGTCAGATTAAAATGAGCGAGATCCACCTTTCTTCAGAAATAAAAATAGAAGACTTTGTGCCTTATGTCCCACAGGGCAGCTAACTGCTGTGTCTTTTCTTTATTTCAGGGCTTCATCCTGCCTTTTGGAGCCAGAATCTCACCTTTGCTCTTTGATTCTGAAACCACACTTGAACGACTCGGACACTGAGTCCAGTTTCAGCTGCTAGCGTCTCCCTGACCTGCAGGAAAGCAAAAGGCGGAAGCAGGTTATGGACACTGTAGGTTGCTCTCTTCCTGTGAGAAGCCTCAATTATTTATAGTTTATTTTATTTCTTAGATTTTTTGGCCTGGCCCATTAGCCACAAGACTCCCTGGGTGGGTTACAGGGAAAAATCTCTGGAATACAGAACAGCTTTTGTGTTGGAAGTGCAGAGATGGTTCCCAGCTTTGTGGGCATGTGGGCTAGGATATTATGTATTGATATATACTATTATCTCAAAGACTTAGCCCAAAAGCCTCCTAAAGTGATTGACAGATAGTCTAAGAAGCCTGCCCGTGCCCAAGGTATGACACCCAAGATAAAAGGAATGGGGATGGTAGAGGAAAAAGTAAGCCTTTCAGCCATGAGGAATGTTCCCACTTCTCCCTCATGCCCCTTTCAGTACAGTCTGCTGTGAAATGGCTGCCAGTGACAAGAGCTGAGGGTTGAAGTGCCTCCACAAGGGAGGTCCATTTTATTTTATTTTATTTTATTTTATTTTATTTTGTTTTGTTTTGTTTTGTTTTATTATTTTCCCTGTGCATTTTTATAGCAGGGGTGAACAGGCTTTTTGGTTCTGCACTGAGTATTTGCTTGCCTGCCTGCGGCTGAACACAGTGATCAACATATCAACATCCCCATAGCTAAAATTCCCTGGGAGGTCCATCACAGTGCCTAAACCGGGCCAACCACAAAAAATTTCTGGTACAATTATCAGAACTTTAAAGCAATGTAAAAGTTGTCAATAAAATGATGTTATCCTTCTCTTCTTTTGTCTAAGAAAACAAATCAAATAGAAATAAGCAGGTAGGCTGCCCACTGTCTAAAGAATCTCAGATAAAGCGATATCTTTCCTGGTTTAGGGATCTCCTTAGCTGGGGACAGCACTATATGAAACTGGATCTTTTCACAAGGAAAGCATCTGTTCTGCCATTGAGCTACAGTCCATTTGCACCCCGCCAATAAATTATCAAGGCAGTCCATTGGTCTGTCTACATCACATTGTCCGTGTTGTCTGGAAGGTGGCCCTTGAGTTCTGGACTCTGCTTGAAAAGGGACTCGATTGCTTGGAAAGGTATGAATGGTAAGGAGCATTGACCAAAGGAAGAGTATGGGGAGGAAGTCTGCTTGGACATAATGAAGTTGCCTTCAACAATGTCAAGGCCACTGAGCCTCGTATAATCAGTTGGAACCTTTCCCAGCCTAGTGTCTTTCATTGGATGTATGGTCTGGGACTGATGGGAGCTTAAGTCCCAAAGTTCTGGAGGGCAAAAGGCTGGGGAAGGCTGGTGATTGGCTGCAGCTTTTCCTAGACCTTCCAGGCTCTACTTTCTGGGACAGGATCCTGCATAACTTGTATCAGGACAGCATCATGTCATGGATTGTGGGTATAAAAGTGTCAGCCATGGGAGAGAGAATCCACCACCAAGCATACCTTCCTACAAGGCTTGGATGAGACTTCAAAAGAAGCTTTGAAAGCTCTCCTCTGCTGCGTTGTGAGTATTGTCCGTGGACGCTTTGGTCTCCTTGGATCTTTCCCATCATCGCTGCCCTTCCCTGGGTTTACTTGTCCTTTGGTCGGTTTGACATCCCCATCTTCGTCATCACTTTTGACTGTTGATGGATGAAAACACACAAACACGACACCTCAATGTGTTAATCCTGCCAGCAGAAGAAAATGAGAAAAGGCTTCCCACTGTGTCTCAAAGGGAAGAGTTTGTCTTGATCTCCAGAACCTGGTATTCAGGGAGAGACTGCTTCTGATCACAGAGGTTTCATCATGACCCATGGACATTCATGGATATCCCCTGGTTCTTCCATTCAGTTGTCTAGACCAACCCTTAACAGCTTCTAAGAGAGTAGCAGGGGGTTCCATGAGATACTGTGTCTTGTGTGAAGACTATCCCTGTTGTCTTCCCCAAATCTCCTGCCTATGCACTTACACTGAATCATGAGAAAGGCAGAAAAATCCACTGTCTTTAAACCTTGCTTATTATTATTTTTTTAATCAAGCAGTAGAAGCCCCTTTCTTCTCCTTCCCTCCCCTTTCCTCCGTGCAGGGAGAGTGACAGATTGGTTTTGCCAGTGGGTCCCTGTCTTTAAAAATGGCTTGTAGGAAAGTTAGCCAGGTCCACTATAATTAAAACGAAACACACACAGTGAATTGAGTTTTGGGATGACAAATGAGGTCGCTGTTATTATTGTTAGGTTACATTCTAGAAAAGACAATCCCTTGGCACATCTGAAGTCCTTCTGTTGGCTAATGTGCTGGAAGATAATTATGGATGGTTTTCAAATGAAAAGCCAGCAGTCACTTCCAATCTGGATTAAGCTGGTCTCTTTTGATTGCTGTAGGTCATAAAATTAGGGCCACAGACACTGATGTTGATGGAGATGTTATTTTAGCCAGGAAAAGAAACTACATACACTCATAAACTTGTGGCATGGAAGCCAGACTTTCCCCATTACTAACCACTAATGCATGATCAGATCATAAGGTTATTTGGATTCAGCTTGACCTTGCACACAAATCAAGTCATCAGATATGCTTTCCTTCTCTCTCTCTCTCTCCCCCTTCCCCTCTCTCCCTCTCCTAATGCTAACAAGTAGAGTTTACGCTCACCAAACATAGCAGCATGTTCTTGGCTACTGTCTAAAATTGCTCCATTCTGTGTTCAGTCTGATACGTCTACGTTACATTCGATGGGAAGCGATTGTCAAGACCTTGCTTTCCCTTTTGCTAACCCACCACACTCGGCTGGGCTATGCATGCTTTCCAGTTCCAGTTTCTAGGCCACGTTTATGCAGCATAAACATGTCGGTTACACCCTCCGTTTGGAGAAAGATCTCCTTATGTAACATTCCCTATTTGACATGCAATCTGGATGCGTTCCACACACTTTATGCTTTTTGGGAAAGGTGGTGAAAAGGGCTTCGTTATTTTGAGAGGCAATTCCTTGTCCGTCTTCCCTGTTTTAGGCACAGGTGTGGCAACTTGCAACAGGCAGACAGATGTGGACAGTCCAACTTTGCACACTGGCAAATGACAACCCGGCGGCGTTTGGGAGGGCTTACCTGAATCGGAGTCATCTGGACTGACGGAACTGAGCAAATCTTTCTCCTTTTCATAGTCGCTTTTGCAGAGCAGCTGCCCTTCCTTCAGAACAAACTCATCGCCTTTCCTCAGCTGCCTCTCACAGACACAACAGCAGAAGCAGCCCAAGTGGTACACGCTTTCCAGGGCCCGCATCACAAACTCCGTCGGGGCGATCTTCTCCATGCATCCACTGCATTTTGCAGCAAACAACCTATTGGAGAAAGGAGATGGCCCGCCATCAATCGCCTGAAATGCAGCGCACCCTAGCAAGCTGGACTTTTCTGCAGTCGAGATGAATATGTGGATCACGTGCATGAGGAGATTTAGCGAGAAAACCATGGGTTTGGCAGTTTTTCAGGGACAGGATCTCATTTGTACTTCCCAAAGCGAAACACAGTTGTACTTCAACATTCTCACCTTCTAAAATTTGCGGTGCAGCCAGCAGCTGCATGAATGAGCACCTTGGAGGGCGTGTGCCCAGAAAAGCTCATCTGTGTAAAAGCAACATGGCGGCATGCATTAAGTTTGGGAAACTCGGTTCCAAACCCAGACAGCGTGAAGCGAAACTGTACACAAAATGGCGCATGTTATGAAACCTGTTTGTGGCCATTGAAAACGCATTTGCAGAGTGGTGATGTTGAAATGGACACCCCAAACCATTTCTCTCAAACGTGATAGCAGGGACTTCTGGAGAGGACCTCCCCAAAGGCAGAGAGCAGGGTCCACCCTCCCGGATAGAGATACCCATGAAGGACCCCCTTCATTCTGATGGAGAGCAGACTTTGCACCTGGTTCTTCCCCAGCATCGGCATTCCAACTTCTTTTGCGGGACAGGAGGGAGGGAAAGAGGAGTGCAATGGACATACTGGGAGAGAATTGGTTCTCAGTCAACCCCCCCCCCCCCCCCCTTAGCAGAGCAACTGATCTGTGTCAGCTCCAGAGGAAACTCTCCTCCCTCAGAGGAAGATGATGGAGAGGTTGCAGTTTCCACATATAGCAGAGAAGAAGAAACCAGCCTCTGGCCCTTTGCAGCCACCTGGAAACTCCAGGTCCATTTTAGTTTTTGGCCCACACAGCCCTGAATGTCTTGCAACCTTAGGAAGGGAAGCTGCAGCCAAGGAAGTCCTTAACGGGATTAAAAGCGTGGGCAGTTCTCCCCGGCTGCACCTGCAGCTTCAGCTCCTTAAACCATCCTGGCATGGTGCAATGGAGCTTCCCCCTTGAACTCGAAAAGCGTGTGGAGAGGACAGGCCTCTTCGAAAGGGGCTTCAGAAGGATCAGGGCTGGAGTGAGAGCATCTGTGGATGGGCTGGGCACCCATTCAGGCCCTCTGAGGGGATTGCGCATCAGTAACATTCAATGGGGTGGAGATAATGAGGGGTGAGAGCAGCAAAGATAAGAAGCTGGCCGGGTGGGGTGAGGCATTCTTTCACATCAGTGGCTCTAATGGGCTTAATGCATTCTGAGATGGCCCAAGGAAAATTCCCCTTCCATTGACAGAGACACAGCAGCCTCCTCCTCCTCCTCCTCCTGTCTATTAATTTATTTCTTTGCTGCCCAATAGTAAAGAAATAGATGAAGCATCCCATACAGGGGCCACTTACTCTGTGGAAATGAGTGGGACGGCTGAACAGAAGCAAGGGTATATCAAATTCATCTTGACTACTGGAGTCTGCCTAGCTTGCTCCCTCCCTCCCTCCGTCCAACAACAACCGCAGCAGCGACAGCAAACCACAAAAGATGCCCAACACACTTGCTTTTGATATCTCTTGGTCAAAAACACCGCTTGTGAGATCACTTAGCCATACAAATGCAGGGCAGAACGGAAGCGTTCAACTCAAGCAATAATTGGAAGACGGAAAAGCAGATGGACTGAGCAGCTCCTTGCCTCTTGCAGGTCCCACCACTGCTGGTAAGAAGGGCTGCCTGGATGAGACCATTTGCTCCTTAGTAAAGGCTGAAAAGCAGACGCCCCCACCCTGCTCTTAGGGACTAGATCACTTCAGAAAGGCAGATGGTCCTGGCAGAAATGCTTGCCTGCCTTAAAACAGCGACAACAATAAACAACCTTCCGTCAGATAGAAAACTAGCAGAACAGGGAGGAGGCTAAACCTGAGGTGCCACTAACCTTCCATCAGCAAGGAGTTTCGTCTCTCCCTTGCAGTCTGAAGTAGCCCACTCCTAAGAGGGCCATATCACATATTTCTGAAAGTGAAATTCAGCTCTTGGTCACTATTCAACTGTGCTGAAAATAGTGGCTTGCTGAACATCGTTGAAAAATTGCTGCTCGACGGCTAGATTATGGATCCCACAATTCCAAGATATATGCCAACGGAAAGTGAAGATGCCATTTTGCATTCTGGATGAATAGCTCTAGATAGCACTCATCCCACCCTTTGCAGGAGTCAAAGAAGGCAAAAGAAGCCAAGGCAGCATGAATCCGAGTCGAAAACAATTATTAAAACAATGCAAAACAGCACCCCAAATCTCCTCCACTCCTCCCCGTTTTTTTCGTTCAACATTTCATGGTGGTTTGCATTTTTGTGTGGTTGCCAAAAGTCCCGCAGGACAGGTGCACACATGGGCCATCCCTGCAGAGAAGGCCCAGAACTTGGAGGCTACTAATCCCATCTCTTCCTCAGGCGGCTCTGTTATGCAGGATGTACCTGCAGGATGACCTTCTGATGATGAAGATGATGATGATCCCTGCATTTCTTCCTCATGCAAGGAACTCAGGGCAGTTTAGAACTTTCTCCTCCTGTCCACTTTCTCTCCACAACCTGTGAGGGAGGTTAGACTGAGAGCCCACAACTGGCTCAACATCACCCAGTGAGCTTCATGCACGGCTAAGTGGGGCCCAGAATGCAGTTCTTGTGGGGTCTAGTCCAACATTTGAGCCATTACACCGCATTGCTTGGGTAACTCCAGTGAAGATCTTACTGCCTCTGAAGGATGCTTTACTGCTGAACGGCTCTCATGCTTAGGAAGGTTCTCCTATATTTTTGCTAAAATCTGCTTCCCCCACAATTTCCACTCTTCAGTTTTGGTCTTTCCCTTGGCAACAATAGGTGTGGCTTCCGTGTGTGAAAGGACCAGTATAGATTAGCCGTGGGAATCCGAATCCTTGCCTCAAAGTGCCAAGAGTCATACAATATGTCTGCAGTTCTATCCTGAACAACAAAGGCTATTCCCATGTTTGGAGGCATCTCCATGTGTGGTGTGAAGAACCAATGTTAGACTTGTCTATTTGCTGAATATTTGGCCTCATGTGCTTCACAAATGCAAACCCCTGGCAGATTTGTACCTCACCAGGTAAAAGGTTCCTCACTTCTGTTATAGAGGTTTATAAATTTATGAATGATGTAGAGAAAGGAAACTGAGAAGCGATTCTTTCCCTCAGAACTTCGGATCACCCAGTGAAATTGGTTGCCCAGTGGCTGAGGACGGACTAAAGGAGTTCTCCACAAACAGCTCACATGGAACTCAGCACCACAAAATGTGGGGATGGTCAGAGGCTGGGTGGCTTTCCAAGGTGATCAGATGAATTTGTGGTGGTGGAGGAGGAGCAGGGGAAGAATTGGAGGAAGGCCCTGTCAGGGGTGACAAGCCATGAGAGCTAAATATTCAGGGAAAGTGTACCTGCAGGGAGCGCCTGGCACAAGGCTGACCTCCAACGGAGACAGGACACTCAACCAGCTGGATCTTTGACTGGATCTCCAGAAGATTGGCCTGCAGCTTCTATCATCCACAGACTGTGTGTGCAGTATCCCTGCTGCCTGGAGATGATAGGAGTTGCAACCCAACCATCTGGTGGGTGCCCAGTTGGCAAAGGCTGATGTCCGTCGTGTCCTTGAGACCAGATCTCCTGCTCCATCCTAAATAATCAAAAGATCAATGCTGGCAGAAGAGGCTGCAGAAATACAACATGCCTTCGGATGTACCTAGGAAGCCCGACGGCGTGGCTTTCCTTGCCTCGTGCACCGCAGAAGCTCAGACGCGGCTGCTGCGCCTTCCTGTGCAGGCCAGCAGCCCATCTGGTGCTTTATACGGAGTGGCTGATTTATTACCTTTCGGGCTGTTATCTTGCTTTTAAATCCGACCCCTCTCTGCCTCCCTCAAATCACTGTTCCGCACTGTTTACTCTTATAATAATGTCCTAACAACCTAACCTTTACCTTTCCAGCCGCCTCGCCCCGGTCTTTAATTTCCTCTGTTTGTGGGGCAAATAGATTGTAATGGTTTTCTTATAACTCATTTACCGCACAGGCCGAGATAACTGCCGTGCCGCATCGGGTTTGCTGTTCACATTAAGTGCGGTTCAAGAGGCTCGCTAAGCAGGACACAGCAAGACGTAAAAACCGGCCAATTCAACAGGTCGGGCCCCTTCTGCTCTGTGTGCAGCTAATATCGCGGAGGATGTGATTCAGCCTGCTTGAATCTGGGCTTGGCTTGCCCGTGCAACCTGGCAATAAGCGTGAGCATTTAAATCATGTTTTCTCTGTTTGCTAATTATGGCATTTTACGACGCTGGGCAAACAAACATAAAAGAAAGGGATGCGGTTTTACAAGAAAACACACAGGGGCCACCCTGATGCAAAATTTAAGGTCAGGACCAGCCTCAAAAGTCTGCATGGAGGGGTCTTGACAAGGACTCACAGTCCTGCAGGGGTCCCTGGGCAAGAATGCACTCCTCTTTTCCACCACCGCTTTTTCCTCTCCTCTCGCTGCAGCCCAAGGGAGTGAGCGAGAAGACTGAAGTGGTAGGGAGAAGAAATACTCGTAGCAGGAGCCGGAGCTCTTTGGCTCTCTGCTGGCAAGTGAGCAGGCAGCGGGGAGCTGGAATGATGAAGAAGAGGAGAAAGAACCGGCAGTAATGGGCGTGAGGGAGTCCCCCAAGAATTCTTTGCCGGGACATCCTCCAAAACCTGGCGCTGGAACGCATCACTGCTTCCATAACATCATATCTTTTGGACCAGCGACATACAAGAGATCCCACGTGGCAGAGCGGGATTCTGAGAGCCCCAGGTTCTAGTCCCCACTCAGGCACGGAGCTCGTTGGGTGATGCTGGGCCAGGCACAGGCTCAGCCCAACCTGCCTCGCAGGGTTGTCGTGAGGATGACCTAAGAGAAGGGGGAGGAGTAGATAAATTGCCTTGAGTCCCTTGAAAAGGAAGAAAACAGGCAGGATAGAAACAGAATCGATGAAGGAAG